CACACCAACAAAAATCGATCACTGTGGCCTATGTTGTCGGATCAATCAATACCCACATCTATTGCCCGGCCCCACGACAACCGACACGGTCGAATGATCCTCAAGCCACGCCAGACTCGACATGCTTGAATACTTTTACTAGTATCAGGTTGGCTGGGAAGTGCAACAAATTGTACGAAAGCCGGTCTGGTTTTTAGTACTTTAACAGTTAGTCATTTTGGGACGTTTCTTATACATCTCTAGCATCTTTTTCCTTCTACCTTTACTAATTACATTTACCTTAAACATACGTTCTTATTCTACCCTCCTTACACCAACGTGTTTACATTTACCAATCTTTCTTCTAACCTACCTTATTTACACCTACATATATTACAACTAATTTATTTACACACACCTTCACTACACCTTCGTTCCTTACACCTACGTTCATTACACTTAACATGCTTACACAACTTGTGGTTGGGGGTGGGGGAGTCAGCATATATTAGGGTCAACTAGCTGTGGTTGGGGGGGGGGGGGATGCGAGACAGCACACATCAGGGTACAACAAGCTGTGATGGTGGGAGGGGGGGTCAGCACATATCGGGGGTGGGGGGGTGTTCAGCACATATCGGGGGTGGGGGGGGTCAGCACATATCGGGGAGGGGGTGGTTCAGCACATATCGGGGGTGGGGGGGTGTTCAGCACATATCGGGGGTGGGGGGGGGGGTCAGCACATATCGGGGGTGGGGGGGGGGGGGTCAGCACATATCGGGAGGGGGGGTGGTTCAGCACATATCGGGAGGGGGGGGTCAGCACACATTAGGGTCAACTAGCTGTGGTTGGGGGGTTGGGATTCAGCATATATTAAGGGAGGACGTAAGGGGCACAGTAGCGGTAGGTTATGCTGGGGGGAGGGGGGCTACATGCATATATGCAAACATACCCTGGGTACGATTTAACAGGTTTAGCAAGTATTACTATTACATTGTGGTGACACCTAAAGTGGTGATTACACCAGCAGGTGGTGGTCGTACTTACACATCAAACACCCGGACAGACACCACCACAAAGAGACACCACCACAATGTGACACCACACAATTTCCCACCAAAACACGCAGCTGTCTCTAACATTACACCAAGTTTTATACCAGAGCTCACTTATGTATGTAGGGTGTATGACGCTCATTTCTCTAAGACTGGTACAAAACATAAAGCTATTTTTTTTTTAACTATCATAGTTAGAAATGTAAAATTGTATTTCTTTACCGTCACAGCAAAAAAAAAAAAAAAAAAAAAAAAAATCAAATATCTTTTTTACTAGAATAGCTAAAAATGTAACATCTTATTTACTAGCATATCTAAAAATCAATACTCTTATTTACTAAAACAGCTAACGGAATCTTATTTAGCATTTCTTTACAAGCAATGCTAAAAATAAAATTCTGTAGACCTACCTATTTACTAGCGCAGCTAAAATCAATTTTTTTGTTTTTGTTTATAGGGCTCGTAAGTAGGCCACCAACCAGTTCTACTGCTCAATCAAACCTGCAGGAGCCATAGAACTGGTTGGTGACCTACTTACCAGCCCTATTGTGTCCAGAGCTGATATAATCAGATTTCATATTCAAACATGACCGTCCCCGTACTAGTTGTTGTATATCTCATATAACATAAGCAGAAGGGGGACAGGTGTATTATTTTGTTTATGGGAGGGGGAGGGAAGTTGTAGACAATATTATATAACACCGACTTTAATTTTTTTTGTTTCGGTACTCTTCCAAACTTTGTCTATTTCAAAAGTTTTGTGTAAGTTGAAACCACTGGCTAATAAACTTTCTTTGATCGTTCCAGTTTTTTATTGCTTCCAGTCAAAATGTAGCAAGCGTTTTCTGTAAAATAAGGCGATTTTCGTTCTGTGTCGGTGGGGCGAGGGGGGGGGGGAGGAGGAGGAACGGCGGATGTTTCCAGTGTTGTTGTAAAAAGAGTTATTATTAATGGAAATGTTATAGACGATTATATGGTCCAAACTGTTAGAGCACGGCCATATTGAACTTTTCGATTATGCACTTGAAATTTTTTTTTAAATTGTGAAGAAAAATGTAACTACTATAGCTCTATATGACCATGGGACTAACAAATAATTAAGGGCCATGGAACTAAAAGAGAATTAAGAGCCATGGAACTAACAGAGAATTAAGGGCCATTGTAGCGAATTAAGGGCCACCTATTGAGTTGAAACAAGGGGGCAACGAAAGTTATAATTATTGTGTGTGTAACTATAACTTTAACCAGGATACTAACACCACGCTGTCATGTGGATATATATATATATATATATATATATATATATATATATATATATATATATATATATATATTAAATCCCTGAGGCTTCGCTTAGACTATGTTTTTATGACGTGTCTAACACTAAAAGCAACCATCATTAATTGCAATTTTAAAAGTATGTTTACTACTTTCTATATTATTAACATGATTAAGTTTTTACAACAAAATGAGTTAAATTAAAAATTGGTTAAGTTCTACCCTTATTTAAAGAAAAATAAAGAAAAATAAAACAACACCCTTCTCTTCCCCCCCCCCCCCCCGCCCAAAGATGTGAGATGAGTAGAAAATTTTAAAAAAAAAATCATTTCAGCCTTCCAAAATTGAATGCCGTCATGCAGCTGTGGTGTGATGTGATTAGAATACAAACACTGGATCCAAGAAATGCAGTTACAAATGAAAGGGAAATACCCCGCAGGTTAGTTTCATTGGCACATGATCAGGATTAATTAACCAGACGCTGATTGGACATGCACTAATTAACCAATCAACGGGTGTGTTGGCTTAGGGTCAGAGAGGGTGTGAGGAAAATGAGAGAAGAGTGTAGATGTTAATGAGCAAACAAACAAACAAACAAACAAACAAACAAACATAGAAATAAACAATGGACATTGATTCCATCCCTATTCCACCCTCACCCCCATACTGTTTGGTTTAACCCTACAGCTGAATGGCTGTATTTGTCTGAAAGGTCTTCGCTTTTATTCAGGTCTTTACAACTGTCTTAAAGGTCTATAGTTTTATTCAGTAGATCTTTGTAACTGTCTTAAAGGTATTTGTTTTTATTCAGGTCTGTAAAACTGTCTTAAAGGTCTTTGCTTTTATTCAGGACTTTAAAACTGTCTTCAAGGTCTATGGTTTTATTCAGTAGATCTTTGTAACTGTCTTAAAGGTATTTGTTTTTATTCAGGTCTGTAAAACTGTCTTAAAGGTCTTTGCTTTTATTCAGGACTTTAAAACTGTCTTCAAGGTCTATAGTTTTATTCAGTAGATCTTTGTAACTGTCTTAAAGGTCTTTGTTGTTGTTAATTAAGTCTTTGTTACTGTATTAAAGGTCTTTGTTTTTATTCATTAGATCTGTATACCTGTCTTAAAGGTATTTGTTTTTATTCATTAGGTCTTTCTTACTGTCTAAAAGGTCTTGTTTTTATTCAGTAGGTCTTTGTAACTGTCTTAAGGGTCTTTGTTTTTATTCAGTAGGTCTTTGTAACTGTCTTAAAGGTCCTTCCTTTTACTTAACATACTTCGATTGGTGATTACAATGTTTTTTTTTAAAAACCCAACTGTCTTATTTGTGTAATAAGTCTGAATTATTGTTTAAACTAATTAAAAAAAACAACAACCAAATAGTTTTTTGTCTGTCTCACGAAGACGAACTACTCTATGTCTTTGTCTGTCTGAAGACATTTTTTTCAGTTTAACTCAAAGATTTGGCCACTGAAACGGGGGGGGGGGGGTGTACCAGTGTGGGGGTGGGGGGAGGGGGTGGAATATATACGGAACTCTGTTTCTATCGATTGAATAAAACACCCTATTCATACACAGGTACCTCAGATAGGGTAATATAACCCTTGGGGCTAGGACTAGGCTTAGAGTTACTGCCATAGTTGGAGTTATTCTATGATCCGGTTTCAAAAAGGTACTTCATCATTAGCGAAATGATCAATACGAATATGTGGGTACGGCTAACCAACCATAACCTACGCCTTGCCAGCCGCATGATAAAAACAACGTTTATTTTAATACTATTAAAATGTATTCTAATTTAGTTGACTCCTAGCTATAGAAGAATTCGTTACGTACATATTTTAACATTGTTAAGCTAGAAGTGTTGTTAACTGTCCTCAACATAGAATATAATCATTAGTCTCTAAAAAACATGTCTGAATTGGCCACTTATTAGATGCAGTTTAACGATTCACGAAGCATAATTAAGTACTGGTGATTAATTGATTAATAATTTCGATGACGTCATTGAGCAGCTAAAGACCGGACCTTTGGAAAATGAACCAAAAAAATAAATAAATAAATACATATGTGTGCATGCACAGCAAGGAGAAGGGAGAGATGTGGTCGTAGTTTCCCACACAGGATGTAGAGTTAGCACACACACTCTCACACACATAAACACACACACACACAAAACACACAGATACTAAAAAAATGAAGACATCTTTATAAAGAAAAAATTGGCATTGAAGTTGAGAAGATATATAATAAATAAATGTTTAGTAAAAATATTATATTTGCGTTTGGTTTAATTAGAATGCAGATTTCATGCAGTGTTTTTAATTTATAACTTAAGATTGAAATTAGTAACAAATAGTTTAAACATAGGCGTCCGCAGGTAAAAGTGGGATGGGGGGGGGGGGGGGTCAGGTAACCTTTTCCTGCGGACGCCAATCTAATAAGAATAGACTTTGATGACCATCTTTCTCAGGTACAATTTAGGAAAATTTAAAAATAGATTTTTAGAAGTATTTTAAACCTGACTCCCCTTCTTTTTTAAGAAGAGATGGACTCGTCCAATTACTTCCCTACAATAACTTGGAAATAGAAACAAAATAGCGCTAACATGAAAGTGATAACAAATTTTCTTGTATGAATTCAATTACGTAACTAAAGTTAATGTAAAGCTCGACTCTCGTCCAAAGAGTGCTGGGAACTCAC